CCCTGTCCCAGCTCTTCAGCTCAAGGCTAGCACTCTACCACTTGAGCCACAGTGCCACTTCCAGTTTTCTGGTGGTTTATTGGAGATAAGAGGCTCATGGACTTTCCTGCACGGGCTGGCTTTGAACCATGATCCTCAGATCTCAGCCCCCTGAGTAGCTAGGATTACAGGTGTGAGCCATGGGTGCCCGGCTTTGCATATTTGTTTTTTTACTTCTCTCTCTCTCTCTCTCTTGTTGCAATTCATGTTTGGGGAAACTCTGGTAATTGTCTAGTTATCATTGGAGAAGAAACCATGTCAGCATCCCCATGTATGTCCAGGGATGAGGGGAATGGCCTGGATCATGTGTAAACAGATCTTTTCTTAACTTCTCATTGATGAGGGCCTCACAGATCACTAATGCTCTTTCATTTTGTATTCTTGAGTTTGGGTCATATCCAAACTCAATGGAAAATGGCTACTGTTATTGCAGTAATTTTCCAGGGGTCTATCTGTTTTTGTTCTGCTGATCTTATCCCATCTGTGTTTTCCATTTTTTCTTTTAGTTCATGAATAAGTTCTTGTCTTTCTTGTCACAGAGTTTTTTTCCTTTTATTTTTTCCTTCCCTTTCTTTTTTTCTTTTCTCCTTTCCTCCTTCCCTCCCTCCCTCCCTTCCTCTCTCCTTTCCTTCTTCCTGCTTTATTTATTTATTTATTTTTGTCCTGGTACTAAGGCTTAAACTCAGGGCCTTGTACTTGTGCTTGGCCTTTTGCTCAAGGTTGGCACTCCATCAAATGAGTCTACCTCTGCTTCCAGAGTTTATATTTCACTTATTCATTTGATAGTACTAGAGAGTCTTGATCACTGTCCTTTCTTTTCTTTTTGATATGTGTGTATGTGTGTGTGTGTGTATTTTTCCCCTACTTTAGAAAGGAGGAAAGATATAGCTCTGCTCATTCTGCCATCGTAAGTGTGAAGTTGAGGAAGTCTGATGACAACACTGACAATTTAAAATAAAAAGAAGTATCACCTGTGACATTAAATCTGTTTGCATCAGAACTCTGTAGGAGTAGGAAAGTGATGAGTTGATTTCACTAGCTTTGGCGGCTTGCTTTCATGAGGCTATAGCAGTTACCTCCATATTCCTGTGTGTATATTAGTATAGCTCCCCAAATACTGAAATGGAAGAAAAATGAAGCTAACATTTAAGAATTGAATGTTGAAAGAAAATTCTCTATCACTTTTACCTTTCTTGCAAGGAAAGGCAAGGGAGGCATGAATTTTCTTATTCTGCTGTGTGTGTGTGTGCCCATGAGCGCACGTGTGCGCACCAGTGCTCACACACATGCATGCACTCACGCATGCAACCTGTGGTTTGCACTCAAGGCCTGGGTGCTGTCCCTGAACATTTTGCTCAAGGCTAGTACTCTTTCACTTGAGCCATAGCTTCACTTCCAGCTTTTTAATTTTTTTAATTTAAAGTTTTTCTTGATGCTTAGTTGGAGATGAGTCTCAGGGACTTTCTTGCTGGGGCTGGCTTCAAACCTTGATCCTCAGATCCCAGACTCTTGAGTAGCTAGGATTATAGGTGTGAGCACTGGAACTAGCTCCATTCTGCTTTGAGCAGCACAAGTTAGAGGCAGTTGGGCCTTTTGGAGAAATAGTCATGGTCATTTCCCATTGCCTGGGGTGAGGTTCATTACCTGCAGCACAAATCTATTGTGTGTTTTTTTTTAATTGTTTTTGTCAGTTGTGGGGCTTGAACTCTGGGCTTGGGTGCTGCCCCTCAGCTCTTCAGCTCAAGGCAAGCGCTCTACTACTTAAGCCACAGCACCACTTCTGGTTTTCTGGTGGTTTATTGGAGATAAGAGTCTCACGGACTTTACTGCCTAGGCTGGCTTTGAACCATGATCCTCAGATCTCAGCCTCCTGAGTAGCTAGGATTACAGGCGTGAGCCACTGGTGCCCAGCTCTATTGTGTGTGTGTTTTTTTTTTTTTTTGGTCCGGTTGTGGGGCCTGAACTCTGGGCCTGAGCACTGTCCCTCAGCTCTTCAGCTCAAGGCTAGTACCCTACCACTTGAGCCACAGCGCCACT